TCAGTTTGCAATGGTTCCCAGAAAGGTTTTGTATTAATTTAGATTTTTATACCAATATATATATTCATTCAAATAAGTGTGACTTATTCTTAAAGAAGTTACTTCCTCTACTCAAACTTGAAAAAAAAGTTTTAAACCCTAAAAGTCTCAAATTAAAGGACAAAAAACTTTGCATTATTATATCAGGCTTTAAAAACAATTAAGCATAATTTGGTCGCAAGTATGAGAGTATTTTCTATTTCAGGAAATTTTGTGAGTAATCATAGGGCATGTCTAAGTAGAAATTCCATAGACGTTCTCAGTTTTTTAAAATCATATTTTATTAAACAAAAAAACAATTAGAATGTTTAAAATTAATTAATTAAAATTGTTCTGAACAGACAATACCAGAGTTTAGCTTAATTGTTTTTAAAACTAAAATTGTTATTAACAAGTATGTATCAACATGTATTTAATATTTTTTTATTTTTTTTAATTTAATGCATTTTTTTATTTAAAAATGTATTATTTTTATTTATTCGAAAACTTTCCTTTCACTATCATAAAAATATTTTCATCCTTATATGTGAAAATGATGCATGAATAACGAATAATTATTTTCAAAGATATTTAATTAAGATAGACTATTATTTTTTAATTCTACTAATTAAAATTAAAATAATTTAGTTTACTATCTATAAAATTGAACAATAAATAAATGCAGTCAAATACTGCTCTAAATTACACTGAATTTGCTGATAAATTACAGAATATTCGAGCAAAAATTTATTTTCTATATAAAATTCGAAAACCGGTTAAAACCGGTTTTTTAGTAAAATTAAAATTCGAAAACCGGTTTTTTGAAATGTCGGTTTTTGTATAAACCCTACTATATAATATACTTTTTAAATGGCTGTAACTCAAAAACTATTTAAGATATCGATTTGAAATTTTGGTATGTTATTTTTAAAGGTATAACCTATTGAAATATGGAAATTGAAAATTCGATTTTTTGAAAATTTCACACTAGTTGTGCCCCTTAAACAAGGCGTTTAGAAGTTACAAGAGATACAATAAATAAATGCATAATCTATTGATATTACGAATGTTTTTTTACCCCAGGTGGCGTAAAGTTGGCGAACTAAGTGACCTGATGTGTTTCCCTATAAAATCTGCAGGAGCAATCAGGTTGAACGAAATGGACTGCTCCATGATCGGTGTCCAGGAAGGATTTCTAAGAGACAGGTAGAAAACAAGTTGAAAGTGGCATTTTGCCTTGAGGCAAGTTGCTTGAACTTCCCGAAATGTGTAATAATTGACCGAAATTGAGATTTAGATATTTAGAAATTTTTTAACTGCGCTGTTACGTATATCATGTACATAGTGACTGGCTTTATTAACTTCCCGTAGGGTAAGTTATTTGAAATCCGATTTGAATGGTTTAAAAAACATTCGATTCCTATTAATAGGGAGATGTGCTGATTAGTTTTTGGCAAAGGTAGGCCCAGAGGTTTCGGAGATACAGAGCTAAATTTTAAAAAAATGGCAGTTTTTGAGAGAACTAAGCGTCCGATTAAAATGATTCAAAGAACTTTCTGCTTATTTCAACAAAATAATTGATTTTGGAAAAAAAAAATTTTTGTTTCTAATTTTTTTTTCAAAAATTTTTTTTTGTAATTTTGGACTAAAATTCAAAAAATCACCCAGGCTAAGCAGTCTAAGCGCCACTCTGGTACAAATGTTTACGCAAGTGCGTTTAGACTGTTTGTGTACTGGAGCACTTTTCCAATTTTGTGAAAATTATTGAAAAATGTGAAAATGCCGCCAATCTGAGCACCGTATAAGTGAAAATGTCGCACAGAATTATTTGCAAATGCGTTTAGACTGTGACTATGCAGGAGCACTTTTTCAATTTTGTGTAAATTTGGCAACTATTTTTTTTTTTGATTTGATTCGAAATGAAATGACGATTGTTAATGTTCTGGAGATGATAAATTGATTTATTTATAATTAACTTTTCCATAGGGTAAGTAATCGCAAAAAAATCGAAAATGAAAATTTTTATATATCTTCACGTTTCAGAGGTTTCTGAATATGTTGGCATACCTTGGAGAAAATTGATGTTGTGTGTGTGTGGTGTGCGTGCATGTGTGTGTGTTTCGGATACAAATTTTCGTCGACGATTTCGGGAACACGGATGAAGCAATTTGAATAATTCAAAAACATTCGATTCGTATTGATAAGGAGACGTGCTGATTAGTTTTTGTCAAAGGCAGGTCTAGCCGTTCCGAAGATATGGGGCAAAAAGGGCCAAAAACGGTAACTCAGTTTTAAGAGAACGGAGCGTCCGATTTGTATAGTTCAAAAAACATTTTACTTGTATTAACAAGATGAAGATTTGATCAAATTTTCATGAAGATAGGTCTAGCGGTTTCGGAGATCTAGTAAAAAAAACTAAAAAAAATAACATATGGCGGTCAACAATAATCATTAGACATTAGACATATGCATATCAAATTTCAGATATTTTTATTGAGATTTTAACAATAAGTATAAGTTTTGTTTACATTCCTATGGGTTCCGTACTAATGTTTTTCCGTTAGACAGCGACGCGGCGCTTACGCGCTTTATATTTTGTCTCTATGCAGTTAAAGAAGTACGATTTATATTTATATTTATATTTATATTTATATTTATATTTATATTTATATTTATATTTATATTTATATTTATATTTATATTTGTATTTGTATTTGTATTTATATTTATATTTATATTTATATTTATATACGCGGCGCTTACGCGCTTTATATTTCTCTATGCAGTTAAAGAAGTATGATTGCTTTGAAAAAAAGTTCAGATCTTCCAAAATATGTCAAAATGAAGATAACATTTTTTCCAAAAAAAATTTTTATAAAAAAATTGTTTAAAAATTTTTTTTTTAAAAAAATTTTTTTTCAAAAAAAAAGTATTTTTCGTCCGATTAAAATTTCCAAAAAATCTTATTTTTTCGAAGTAAAATTTTTTCAAAAATGTTAATCGTTTTTTAAAAAATAATAATTTTTGGCACGGGAAGTTCCAGCAATTTGCCTTAAGGCACGATGCCTTAATTGCCTTAAGACAGAATTTCACTTACAGCTAGTTTAATGATTTAAATTAAAGGTACAATTTTTTACACAACTAAAGAAGTTTTGTAGACTTTTTTATTATTCCAAAAAATTGATTAAATATTTAAATTTTTTCCTCGTACCGTAATTGATATTAATCCAAAAAAACAAAATTGAAAAGTTTTATGAAATGTTCTTCACAGTTTCGAAGGTTTTCTTCGCAACATTTTTTACCTCAAAAAAAAAGACATGTGATGTGTGTGTGTGTGTGTTTTGTATGTCCGCATTTTTTGCGTCCACGTTTTCGGGCGCACGGATAAACCGATTTATGGTTTTAAAAAACATTCGATTCCTATTGATAAAGAGATGTGCTGATTAGTTTTTGGCAAAGGCAGGTTCAGACATTACGGAGATACGGTGCAAAGAGTGCAGAAAATATAAATCGTGTTTTTGAGAGAACGGAGTGTCGGATTTGAATCATGATCAATTTGTAATGATTGGGAGAAGAGATGATTAGTTTTTGGCAAAGACAGGTCCCGCCATTTCGAAGATACAGATCTAAATATGCAAAAAATGGCAGTTTTTGAGTGAACTAAGCGTCCGATTTGAATGATCTAAAAAACTTTCTGCTTGTATTGACATTGCTCAATTACTTTTGAGAATAAAAAATTATTACATCTTTTTTTCATTTTCCATAAAATATTTTTGTAATTTTGGATTAAAAATTCAAAAAATTACCCTGGCTAAGTACAGTCTAAGCGCCACTCTGGTACTTTTCTAATTTTGTGTGAAAACTATTGAAAAATGTGAAAATGCCGCCAAGCTAAGCACAGTATAAGTGAAAATGTCGCACAGAATTATTTGCAAATGCGTTTAGACTGTGACTATCCTGGAGCATTTTTCCAATTTTGTGTAAATTAGGCAACTATTTTTTTTAAATTGAATTCGAAATTAAATGACGATTGTTAATGTTCTGGAGATAAATTGATTTATGATTTACATTTGATTTGCTCACATATAACAAGATAGCAAAACTAATGAAAGTTACAGTATTTGTAATAATATATTTGAAAACGTTTAAAACTTCTCGAATATTTCATTACGGCACGGGAAGTTCCAGCAATTTGCCTTAAGGCATGATGCCATACACCACTAGTTAGTTCTCTAAGTCCTTTACCTTTTTAGGATTTTTATGTGCGTGACCCTAGAACGCAACTTCGTGACGGGTCGTACGCACCCCAAAATGGTGCTGATCCAGCCCAAGGTCGAGGGAAACATTATGACCTTGACGGCACCAGAAATGAAGGACATACAACTGGACGTTGCGGCCCTGCAGGGCCGAGACCGCATCAAAACTTCAGTTTGGGGCCAACTTGTGGACAGTGTCGATTGTGGGGATGAAATCGCCAGCTGGTTATCAAGGTAAGGTAAAGGATAATAGAATGGTTCTTTTTCACACCAGTAAGGGTAAAAGTTGAATTTAACTTAAAATTAACAAAACATCTTAAGGGGGTCTTCCTATGTGATGAGTTGAAAAAATCGATTTTTTTTTCTTTTCATATTTCGGTAGATTACACCTTTAAAAATAACATATTAAATTTCAAATCGATATCTCAATTTTTTTGATTGGTAGACAGCAGCCATTTAAAAAGTATACTATATAGTAAATAGTACAACGATCATTTTAATCTTTAAACGCGTTTTTCTCTCAAAACTGTGTTTTTCAAAACTTTCCTCCATTGTATCTCAGAAACGGCTGGACCGAATTACTTGAAATTTACAGGGCACACTCAATATATTTAAACGCATGGATAACTATTATCAATCATCGAAATTTTGAAAACTTCGATTTTTTTATAGCAAAAAACAAAAAACACTACTGTAAGTGGAATTCTGTCTTAAGGCAATTAAGGCATCGTGCCATTACGGCAAATGCAGGAACTTCCCGTCACAAAAAAATATTATTATTTTACATTTTGACACAACAAAACAAATTACGAAAAAAAATAAGATTTTTGAGAACTACAATTAAAACAAAAAATTTTTTTTCTTTTGAAAAAAATTTTTTCAAAAAAAATCTAATTTTTTTTTTTTTTTTAAATTTTTTTTGGAAAAAAATGTTTTTTCTTCTTTATTTTGCATATTTTGGAAGATCTTTTTTCAAAGCAATCGTATTGCTTTAACTGCATAGAGACAAAATGTCAAAGCGCGTAAGCGGCGCGTCGCCGTCTAACGAATAAATATTGGTACGGAACCCATAGGAATGCAAACAAAATTTATACTTATTGTTAAAATCTCTATAAAATATCTGATGATTTGATGTGCATATGTCTAATGATCATTTTTGACCGCCAAATGGCATTTTTTTTTACTTTTTTTGTTAGATCTCCGAAACCGCTAGACCTGCCCTCATGAAAATTTGATCAATTCTTCATCTTCTCAATACAAGTCAATTGTTTTTTGAATTATTAAAATCGGACTCTCCGTTCTCTTAAAAACTGACTTACCGTTTTCGGCACTTTTTGCCCCGTATCTTTGGAACGGCTGGACCTGCCTTCGCCAAAAACTAATCAGCACGTCTCCTTATCAATACGAATCGAATGTTTTTTGAATTATTCAAATCGGTTGATCCGTGTTCCCGAAATCGTCGACGAAAATTTGTATCCGCACATACATACACACACGTACATACATACATACATACACACACACACACACATACACACACACACACACTCACACACACATACATCCATTTTTTCTAAGGTATGCCAAAATGTTAAGAAACCTCTGAAACGTAAAGATATATAAAAATTTTCATTTTCGATTTTTTTGCGATTACTATAACTTACCCTACGGGAAGTTAAAAACGCCTAATTTGCAACTTTTATTTCAAATGTCTATAAAACATTCAATTTTTTTTTATATTCATTTGATTGTAGTTCATTCCGTGCTTTTAAGCCTACAAATTAAAACGCCGTTTATTTTTTTTGGTCAGATAAGCCGATCAGGCGGAATCGCGGAGACAGTGGGAGCTCTTTTTTTTGAGGGGGGGTGTTTAGAGCGCTGTAACTCTAGTTGGACTAAATTTTTTTAGCTGAAATTTTATATTTATACTGTCCAAATATGTAATAATAAATGATAAAAAACGTGAAGCTCTAGCTATTTACTGGTCGTACAAAAAATTCTAAAATATCCCTAAAAAACAGGCCGTCACATAGGAAGACCCCCTTAAGACATAAAAAATATATTAAGGTTTCGTAAGGGTTTGACGGAAAATCATGAAATACCACGTGTGGGAGGAAGGGGTATATTAAGATATCACGAGTATTAATTATTTAGCTGATTTTTTTTAAGTAAACCTTCTTTAGGCGCGACTAGGGTGTAAATCCGTACAAATGCAAACGGAAGTGCGTTACGGCAGATAAGATAAGATAAGAGTCGAGTGCCAATGATTCGTCATTCGCTCTCGATGATATCATTTCTATACGGGTCGATTGTGATCAGTCGTCGTGTATGTGAAAAGAGATCTGTCGTTGTATGCGTACCGATATCAACAAGAAAATCGACATAGATAGGTAAATAAACATTTTAAAGTTACATCGTAGTACAAATCTTGATTTAATGAAAAATACCTGAATTAGAAAAATATTTAACCCTGTTCCTTGAAAATAATAAAATAAATGCAACATTTGTGCCGTGGACTAAACGTAAGTTTATTAAAATACTTTCTATATTATTCGTAGTTTCTTTAAATCTTTGAAGTTATTAAAATGGAAAATATTTTTAAGGCAAAACATATATTACAGCTGTTCAAAGAATGAGATTATATCGCCAGCAAAAAGTAAAAAAATATCATCAGTCAATGAATGTATGTTAGTCAATCAGTCAATGAATGTATGTTAATTTTAATTAAATGAAATTCTTCAAACACACTTATTATATGATAATGATTGAAATTGCGAAAACAATATTTGTTTAGGCGTTGTTTAAAATAATCCACTGTGTGAACGAATATTATAGAATTTATTAATCAGCAATTACTTTATTTCTCTAATGAAGGTTTATTTCTGAATTCTCATTACAATGACAAACCGATCATGTCATATTTGAAGTATGACACATTAAATTACATTATTGTTTTTAAATATTATACATATTTTTAATACTATTATAAATATATAATTTATAATTTATCATTATATAAATGTGTATAATGGTCGACACTAATCACGATTGTTACCATATTACTAATAAACATTATTCAAAATTGTTATATGATGTATTTATTTTTACTTAAATGCCATCTCGTACAATAGCAAATAAGTTTTACTTCAATCGCGTGCGAGTGAACCTTACGCGCACTTTTTTTTTATTCCAAACATTTTCAAGAAAATCAAAAAAAATTCACTCGTTATTAAAAATACACGTGATGTTTGGTGGGGTAGTGGGGGGTATTTTTGAATATCACCAAATCAAAATATCCTTGAAAAAATCGGTCACGTGATTGATGAACGTTCCCTAAACTAAACAACAGTGCTCAAGCCAAAAAAACTAACAACCAAAAAAAATACTTTTGCTATGGATTTTCAAACATCACAATTTCGCTCCAGTAAGAATCAAGGTGATGGCTTGTTATACACCATTTGCCCTTTACTTTCAAATATCGTTGTTAAAAAAATCCTAACTTCACTTGTTTGAGATATATTTTTTTTAATTACAATATTTGTTACAACTGTTAAATAATTTAACATCTTGCAGCAATAATGAACAATAACATAAATTCAAATAAAAAGAGTACAAAATAAAGGATAGTATTTACGTTAAAATGATATCCGTAGTATGATGATTTAATATAAAATAAAAGCAAATAATAATAAAAATTAAAATCAATAAATAAAATAAATAAAATTTCTGAATAATAAAATTAACACTATATATTATTTGTGATTTGGTGGTGTATTTATTTTTACCCTTGAACTGACTATTACCTCATTCATATTAATCGAATGTTTAATTTTTAACCAGGTACATCCTGGGTGAAGAAACAGGTTTAAGGCTGGTCTACTACCCAAAAGAAGTTTGCGAAAGGGATGTTCGCGAAAAGAACAAAATATTCGAGACTGTCGAAGAAAAAGATTGTGTAAGTAAAAAAGATAATTAAACTAGGTGTGAGTGCCTTGTGGCAAGTTGCATAAAACTTCTTGGAGAACTCGATAGAAAATTAATATATGTATTAGTTTATAAATTTTTATTTGTAAGTGAATAGAGTTGCTGGAGGTCGAATCATTATCGAGTTTTAGTAAATGGCATTTAATTTTTTTTTTAAATTGAATTATATAATTGCATCTGCCAAACATATACAGTTGACTGTATCTTATATTATTTTAATTTCTGGCACATCTCACCTGCTATTCAACAATAATAATGTAGACATTACATTTTTCTTGTATATTATATTCTAATATTATCTAGGTTCATAAATTCAGCTAAATTCAAATTTCAAGTGAATTGACATTTCTAGCACATCAAATGTTTTCAATGTCAAACAATCATAAACGGTTATTTGTAATTTTTGTCATTTATTCCGTCAAATCTTAAAAATTTTCCTTGACAAACTCAAAAAAGATTTATCAAAATCCGAATAACCGTTTAGGAGAAGTATCAAATCATTCACCCGTACAAAAGAATTTTATATATAAGTCATGTGCAATTTAAAAAAAAATTACATTAGAGTAAACTAAATTCTAAATATTTTAAATATTTTTTAAAAACTGCGAAATATTAGTGAAACTTTTATCATTATTCTTATAAACTAAACTACAATAAATTTTAAAAAATCTTAAACATTTTTGAAATAAAGTTATACTCAAAAAATTGAGATGCACTAAATAATAGAGCTGATGAATTCTATAAAAGTGAAGAAACTTTAGCAAACTGTTTTTAAGATAAATTCATTTTGAAATTTTGGTTTGCACGTTTTTTTAAATACATTCTCACCTTTTATTAAAAAAAGGACTTTAAATTTTTCTTGATTATTATTCTTGGCTATATAAATACAAATCCATGTGACTTTATCTAAAAAGGCAAATTATTTTGAACTATAGTTTTTTACCGGTAGCATCATGGTAGCATGCTGCAAAATTTTACATTTTTCATATATATATATATATATATATATATAAATTTTTTTTCTAATTATTTTTTTTTTCCAGGGGGCCCTCCACGATGCGACAAGTTACAACCTAATCAACCAAAGTTCGGTGGACGATCTGAACACAAAAATCCCCGACTACCCTCCAGTGACGCCCCAACAATTCAGGCCCAACTTTGTGGTCAAGGGGGCCCCTGCTTTCGAAGAAGACTCCTGGCAATGGATGAGAATCGGAGGGGCCACTTTTAGGAACGTAAAACCATGTACCAGGTAAAAGATAAAAGACGACTAGTTTATTTTTTTTGTTGGATTTTGTTGAGATTTTTGGGAATACCGAGTTGTGGTAGAGGGTTGCTGTGTTAGACAATGTTGTAGATTATTTAATTTTGAACAAATTTCCCAAATACATCATTCAAATCAAGCTAATGGTTTAAAAGTTATCAAGAATTTAAGAAAAAAGATGCACTTTATCAAAAACATAACTGGTAAGGGGCATACTTTTAGCCAAGGCTGTTTTTTTATTTTTATTGCGATTTTTGAGTATATCGAGTTGCTGTAGAGTGTTGTTGTATTAGACAATGTTGTAGATTATTTAATTTTGAACAAATTTAGTTAAAGATTATTTAATTTTGAACAAATTTGCCGAATACATCATTAAGATTAATCGAATGACTTAAAAACTATATAAGATTTTTCAAAGTGATGCATGTTACCTAAAAACTCATCATACTTTTACGTTCAATTGCAATTTTAATGTATACCGAGTTGCCCTAAGATCTTTTGTACACATATAATAACACAGTTTATTCAATTTTGAACAAATTTCTCTAATATTTGATTTAGATTCAATAACTCGTTTAAAAGTTACATGAGAAATAGTAAATAAATGCACAGAACTGTATGCTATAAATAGTTCAATTGGCTAATATAAATTATAATTTTGAGTGATATTTATCTAACTATTTATATTTATTTTTAAGATGCATTTTTACTACTGTGGATCCAAAAACTGGATTAAAAAATAAAGCTGTTGAACCTCTGAAGGAATTAAAAAGGTAAATTTAATTTTTAAAGAATAATAAATTTTATATTTTAAATTATTTCGTTATTTATATAAATTAAATGGTGAAATTTATATATATATATATATATATATATATATTCATATATTTTAAACTATTAAATAATATTTATCAAATTGTAATGAATAAACAGAATAATCACTATTAAAAAGTCATTTTGAATTTTAGTACAAAAATAAATTTAACATATAATTTTTCTGTTTTATTTCATCATCATTATTATTATCTGTAATCATTTTATATCTTAATTTAAATATAAAAAAAACATATATTTAATTTTCCTATTTAATTATATTTTATTATCATTTCTATATTTTTATTAATAAACATATTTTATATTTAGATTATTATATATATATATATATATATATATATATATATATACAAATATTTATTTATTTTTTATTTCAGATATCGTCTGTTCCCAAAAACAGGACGTGACCCTGTTCTGGGTATTCATTTGGGTTTACGAGGACATGGTCGAGTGAAATTGGGAGATGCTGTCTATGTCGAAGCATAATAAACAGATATTTGAAAACAAAATGTTTAAAGATTTATTTTTATATTCAAGAATACTTATTTAATAAGTATCAAATATATATATTTACTAATGAGCAAATATTTTATTAACAATGAATGGAAAGCCAATGTTATAATGATAAATGATAAAGAAACCAATAACTATACATGAGTATAATCACTTGAAATTATATATATATATATATATATATATATTTGTATAAATAACTATATTTGTACTATTTATAATATACAATTTAAAAGTTGAAGCAAATTCTTAAAGAGCAATTAGTATAATCCAAATAATAAGTAATTGTTAAATGCAAATCTGTTATAAATCTTCCATAGTTTTTAAACCATTTGTTTGATTTGTTTACTGTATTTGCAAAATTTGTATAGAATTAATTAAAGTACAAGTCTAGCAACAGAAAGCTCTTAAACAACTTGGTGCACTTTAAAATTGCATTGGAAGGAGCATTTTTAATCTTTTTCGTAGCTCAAGACAATACATATTTAAGTTCAAGATATAACTGTCCAATATATATATATATATATATATATATATATATATATATATATATATATATTACAATGTGCATGGAAACACATAGTAAAAAGTATTTACAAAATTATAAATAATACAAATTGTACTTACCAACACATCGACTGACTGGACACCCTCCACAAATTGATTCCATTATTTGTAATATATTCCATACAACTTGACTATCATCTCAATTAAAGTATAAGTCTTGTTTTTGTGATCAGGTGCTCCAATAACTTCTATCTTTATATAATCCTCGAACACTAAATTTGTTTCCATTGTATTTGTTTGCACAAAACTATTTATAGTAAAAGTTCCACTTATTTGTAATTGTAAATCACTTCATCAGCAGTTTATGGACATTAAATTATATAACTTCTATGAGAACTGAACTAAACTTTTTTTATTTTGTTATTATTATAAAGACAATTTTAAAACTGTAATTACTAACCTAACATGACAACTATATATATGGTACTATCCTGTACATCGACAGACAGGACTTTATTAATAAATTGATTATTTGTAATCATTTGACTATAATATTAATTAAAGTTAGAGTCTTGTCATGAGGTGCTCCTGTGAGTTAAGATATTCATTTATGTTTATATAATCCTCGAACACTAGATTTGTTTCTAGCATATTCCTTCGCATACAACTATTTATATTCAAAGTTGTATTCAGTTGTGCTTGTAAATCACTTCATCAGCAGTTTATGAATATTAAATTGTATAACTTCTATGACAACTAAATCCTTTTTAATTTGTTATTATTAAAAAAAACAATTTTATAACTGTACTTACTAACCTAACATGACAACTATATATATCGCTATCCTGTACATCGACAGACAGGACTTTATCAACAAATTGAGTATTTGTAAATCACTTGAAATATAAGTCTTGTCATCAGGTGCTTCTGTAAGTTTAGATATTCTTCTATGTTTATATAATTCTCGAAACACTAAATTTGTGTCCATCATATTCCTTTGCATAAAACTATTTATACTTAAAGTTGTAACTAGTTGTAATTGTAAATCACTCCATCAACAGTTTATAAACAATAAATGGTAACTTTTACCACTATTATTGTATGTATTGTTATTACAAAAACAATTTTACAACTACAACTACTAACCTCAAAAAGGACAATTTTATATATGTGTTATATACATTCTGACAGACAGGACATCATGAACAAATTGATTTCTAGTAATCATTTGACTATAATTGCAATGAAAGGATAAGTCTTGTTATTGCATTTTAGTGCTCCATTAAGTTTAAACATTCTTCTATCCTTCAAAATAACTTTTCCATACATAAGATTTGACACAATCATATTGCTTCGCACAAAACAATTCATATTGAAAGTTGTGATTGTAAATATCTCTATTAGTACTTTATAAATACTATGGTACAAGTTTTAACATTATCATGTCACTTTAAATATATTATTTTGAAGACAACAGTAATTACTAACCTCTAAGGACAACATTATATGTATTATCCTGTACAGGACTTTTTCAGTACATTGATTATTAGCAATCATTTGACTATAATCACAATGAAAGGATAAGTCTTGTTGTAGCATTTTAGTGCTCCATTAACTTTAAACATTCCTCTATCCTTCAAAATAACTTTTTCATACAAAAGATTTGACACCTTCACATTCCTTCCCAAAAAACAATTCATATTGGAAGTTGTAACTGTAAATAACTTTATAAACATTAAAATGTAACTTTTATTGTTATTATATTTATTTTAAAAAATTGTAACTTTTATTGTTACTATTTAAAAAAAATTGACAATAATAATTCTTAACCTCGAAAAGGACTAACCGCAAACACTACTTGTCACTAACTGCTAAAACTGAACAAGGACAAAGGACAAGTGGACAACTTCATGTTGATAAAATTTCAAAAAAAGGTAAAATTTTAAATAAAATGTTAAATAAACCTAATTATAAACTTAAATAAATATATGTTTTGTTATATAAAATCATAATATACCAAAATTGGATTAAAAAATTGTATATGGGAGTCAAAATTTGATATTTCCTCAAAATTTGACATTTGGTCAAAATTTGACGTTTGAAAGCAAAATGGTTCGTGAAAATTTTGAACGGATTTTAAAAATTCAAGGATTTCAAAAAAATCTATTTCTAATTAGTTTCTGGTAAAGATAAGAACTTTGTAACTTTGTAATTTGTAACAGAAACTTTGCACAATTATAGGGTTTATAATATATAATATAAAGGATATAGTAAAATATTATAGGCATAAGAAAAATGGTTTATATTATAAAAATTTATTTGGAAAATTTGGATTAATAGGCCGCGTTTTTAGAAAATACTTCTTGAATATATTAGGCACGTGTTAATATTTTCAAAAATGTGTAATAAACAATAATTTGTACAAAATTTAATAATTTATTAACAAATTAACAAACTAAAGTAAAATAAAAAATATTAATTTAACTTAATGATTTTTAATTGTATATTTAATCTTGCCTCAAAGCAAAATGCCACCTACGCCCAGTTTTAAAAGCTTTGTTATAAAAAATAAAAAAATTCACGCGCCAGTGTTGCAAAATGTGCAAAATTTTTTGACATCTTGAAACGTCAAACAAGTGTCAAAAAACAATTTTTATATTATATAAACACATTTATAAACTTCATATTGTATTCATCATTATTAATTAACCTTATGCATTTATTTTATACATTTATTTATCCATATAATTGCAATTACTTGTTGAGTGTTCTTTTGACAGTTACCTAACCTCAAAATGGTGAAAACTTCAAAGGCAAAGCCCGACGCGAATGTTTATATGGTCGAAAAGATACTGAAAAAACGTATTGTGAAAGGCGATACTCAGTATTTGATAAAATGGCAAAACTATTCCAACAAATACAACAGTTGGGAGCCCCAAGAGAACCTGATGTGCCCCGAATTGATAAAATCGTATGAAGAGGAATGGTCACAAGCCAAATCCGAGACTCCGGAGGAAATTTCGGATTCTAAAGCCCCCAGGCCTTCCAAGTTGGAGCCCGAGAAAATAATAGGAGTCTCAAAATCCGGGGGCACCCTGATGTACCTCCTAAAATGGAAATACGTGGCGGAGGCTGATTTAATTACCTCTAATCAGGCGAAGGCCAGGATTCCCCAATTGGTTATTCAGTTTTACGAAAATAATATTTCGTGGAAATCATGAGGAAGAGTTTTTGGATTTTATTTAATTTATTTTGATGATGTTTTGGCTTGATATTGCCTTAATTTAACCTGCAAGGTTTCTTTGTTGATTGTAAATGATTGAATCATGTTTTTGTTCCTATTTTTATAAATAAATTGATGATAATGTTGATAATCTGTTTTATTATATATATACACGTATATATATATATATATATATATATATATATAAATTATTTTTTATATCTATTATTAATCTGTACTAAATAAATGCACACTGTGTTTATAGTACAGTATGCATTTATTTATAACAGTTCACGCATTTATTTATTATATCTTTTGTAACTTTTAAAATATTTGTTGAAAGCAAATAAAATATTTGACGAATTTGTTTAAAATTAAATTATCTATAATATTTACTTACATTGTTAGACTCTACAGCAAATAGGTATACTTTAAAATCACTTTTAAAAACAGAAGATTCGTCTAGGTGTATTTTTTTTAAATTTCATGCATTTATTTGGGTATTTATTTCTTATATCTCTTGTAACTTCTAAACTGTTTGTATACTATAAATGAAATATTTGGCAAATTTGTCCAAAACTAAATTATCTATAATATTTTTACATAAATTATTCACTCTATAACAACTCAGTATACTTTAAAATCATATCTAAAAGTAGATAAACTACTAAAATCTTTTATTTTTAATGTAAGTAATTCAAACCATTCAGACATTTATTATATCTCTTGTAACTTTTGTTTGAATTTATTAGAAATGTTTGGCATATTTGTTTAAAATTAAATAATCTATAATATTTACTTACATTGTTAAACCCTACGACAACTTGGTATACTTCAAAATCAGCTAGGATCTTTTATTTCTCCTATTAACCATTCATTAGGACATTTATTTGTTATATCTCTTGTAACTTTTAAATCGTTAGTCTAATATAAATAAAATATTTGACAAATTTGTCCGAAATTAAATTATCTATAGCATCTACTAACATTATTTAAACCTACAGCAACTCGGTATACTTTAAAGTTACAAGAGATATAATAAATAAATGCATAAACGTGTATCTGAAGTTTGTATTAATTTTTTCCCTTCCACGGAATAATAAAAATTGTATATAAAAAATATTTTATTATATAAAATATAATTTAGTACTAAATTTAATTTATATAAAATAAATATATACATCTAAATAAATATATATATATATATATATATATATATATATATTTCAACATCAAAATTAACTACTAAATCATATATATATATATAAATTATAAGTACTAGAGATATTAATACATATGAACAAAATATACATACATTTGTATATATATATATATATATATATA